GTTGGGCGGGGACAAGTTAAATAAATAAATAAATAAATAAATAAATAAATAAATAAATTTGAATATTACTGTGTGACAAATCTACGATTGTGGAAAAGAACAAATGTTTAAGGCTTGCTTTAAATGGTAGCCCCCAATACTTTCTATCCCACTTCTGTGGGTTTTGTTTATTGGATGTGAATTCCACCTCTCAGTTGGGAGCTCAGGACAACATACACAGCGCTACTTCCTATTTTTCCCCACAGCAACCACCCTGTTCTATAAGACCAAAGAAGAGGTTGCTTGTTATGTGATGAAGAGAATTACTGGAAGAAGAGCATTGTATGCTCTAGCCTACAGCAAAGGAAGAGAAGGTGGATATCAGCTTTGCTAGGGTGAATGGATCGGTTGTATTTCTGACCCAGATTAGTTTCTCATGTGTTCATTCAAAAATCCATTCTGGTTTGTTTCTGTGAAAATCTGCATTTTTTCAATCAAAATCTGTTCAAATTCATATTTAAATATATAGTTTTGAACATATTTTCTCTGTCTCGAAGTATGAATTTCTATGTTTTAAAACAATGGATACATTTTGGTACTTTCTTTAATGTAGATCAGTGGAACTCATGTCAATATGCAGACTAGCTTGTAAGTCTGCTTGCTTTGAAGTGTGGATCAAACAATATCATAGAATATTCCTAGACTTGTCGTCTCATCCAAAATCATCCTTTCAAAATAGCCAGAAGTTTCCCAAAGACTTTCTGCAGAACTCTGCTTTGCATGTCACCCCTGGCAACTGCCTAAACTAGTCACTGCACTTTTCTTGGCATGATTTCAGAAGTGGTTTGCCCTTGCCTCCTCCTTCCTAAGACACAAAGGGAAGGACTGGCCCAAGGTCATCCTGCTGACTTTGTGCCCAAGGTGAGGTTAGAACTCACAATCTCCTGGTTTCTATCCTGGTGCCTTAACCACTACACCAAACTAGCTCTCTTACTTTTCATACCTTCATTATATTTATGGCTCCTTCTTGTCTTTTCCTGAGGTCTTCAGAGCGTTTCTTGTAATTATCCTGGAGCTTTTGGGAGCCGTGCTTCACAGATTCAGCACCCGCTGCCCTTGAAGCTTCAAGCTGAAAAGGACCCAATGCAAACAGATTATTTAAATGTTTTGAGTTTAAATAACGTTGAGAAACATTAAACAGTTGAGAAACAATTGTTTCACTTTGTCACATGCCATATAAACCTAAGGATCAGTAAGTTCTCAGTATTTACATTACTAGTGTAATGTAAATACAGGGGACACTGATTTGAAAGATTACAATCAGGCATGTTAAGAAAAGAGTGAAGGCTCATCTTAATCAAGCATTTAGTAATAGTATCTTCATTGTGGTCCAAGATCAGTACAAAATATATGGAGCCTGTTAGTTGGTTATACCACAAAGTTATATAAGGACATTACCAATGCTAGTATTTTTATTTTCAATTCTTCTCCTAGAGATCCAAGCATGGGGTTTGTTGAAATCTTCATTATGCTACCTACTATAACCCAATATCTTTCTCCTTATTAGTTACAGATAGCTTAGACTCCATTAATGTGAATCTCAAATGAGAACTCTTTGCCCCAGTGAGCATACACTTACTTAAATTTAATAGCATTTGCTATTTGGTTGGACATTCACTGAGGTTAAAAAGATTTCTCTGGAGCTCATCATCATTCTAAATAATTTGGTATCACCTGCAAGCTTGATCAGCTCACTGATTAACCCTATTGTTTTCTACAGTTCTACCACCCACAGTCTGTTAGGATTGGGGTGGATTGGTCTATCGATTATGAACACCGCTCTCAAACACAGATTACTGAGGGACTCAACTTCTCATTTTACCTCTGTGATAAGGCAGTCATTCCCTGCCTCTCACCAAGCTTCTGTGAGCATCTCCCACCAGCAGGATATGCCCTGTGGCACAGAGACCAACATCTTTCTGAAGGTCATTTCCACATTGCATTACAGGTCCCACCTTAGGCACAAAGCTGGCTGGGTGACCTGGGGTCAGTCCCACTTTGTTAGCCCCAGGAAGAAGATAATGGCAAACCATTTCCAAAAATGTTGTCAAGAAAACTGCACTGATGCCTGGAGGTAGCCACCAGGAGTCAAAACTGACTCAAAGACATAAGCGAACAACAAAAACTGGTATACACTCTTGTACCATCTTTACCTTCCTTTCCACTATGTGTTACTTCAAGCAGGGCAAGCACCCTGATCTAGCTACATCCTAGCAGCTGCACAGACTTCATTCTTCTTTCTTCCAAACCAGATGTGACCACTAGTGTCAGAAACATGGAAGATCATGAATCAATATTGTGGCTGCAAACAAGCCTTCAATATCTCAGCACCTCTCATATTCCATCCTAGATAGTAACTGTGGTTCCAACTCATTGGGAATTGACCGGGCTGGGAAAAGGTGGGTCTAATTTGTTGCCAATGCATCCATGATTCCATCATATTAGGAGCTATTTTGAAAATATAGTGGTCTAGGAGATGGTCGGTCTAAAGCAGTATTCAAAACTCAAGTCTCATTTATATAACCAGGGGAGAAGATAATACTTTACCTGAGATTGTATCACTTCAGATTGCAGCAGGTATAAACTGAATGCTTCCCCTGAATACACACAGACACGAATATAGCTGTTCCACAGCATGTAAAAGAAAATGAACCTCTATCTCTTCCTCCTTTTGACCCTGTTCCTACAACATGCTTAATCTCATCATCTACTACTCCAGTCAAATCTTCTTGTCAGTGATTCTGGCATCACACAATGAACTAATTGGGTCAAAAATCACTATTTGAGGAATACAGAATCTTTGGCTTTATTTCATCACTTTTCCAGTGGCCAGCAATCCTGGCTTGGCCACTGTAGGCAATTAGGGATTCCAGGTTTCAGTACTGAGGTCTACAAAGCAAAGACCTGATTCTTCAGTCATTCCTTCTCTCCAGCTATTTTCCTCGAGGACCAAATACGCAAACAAGCCAACTGTCCAGATTTATGTATATTTACAACATAGCCAACTAGATGGAATTAGTTTACACTGTGCATGACACGGTCTGTTTGGAATCAAGTTTAACCCTTTGGTGTTTAATTGGCTGGGTTAACTGACCCATTTTTGGTAAGCATGTTGTGGGAACTGGATCAGTGCCTGCTTCTTTAAAATGTAGGGAATATTTCTTATGGGAAGGAACATTCAATCATGTAACATTTGCCCCAGCTCTCTCAGTTGCAGAATTTGGCTGTGAATTTTATAATTTTTTTATGATGGTTTTCTATCTGCTTTTGTTTCATTTGTATTGTTGTAAACTGTTGTACTGTTTGGTTATGTTATATTGTTTTTAATTCTTTGCAAGCACCCAGACTCATATATACAAGATGGGCGGCTCTATAAATTGGAATAATAAAATAAAATAATAAAAATAGTTTTATCAGTTCAAAACTATTTATATGCTTTGGATTACTTTCAGAACCAATAAGAAATCAAATATTTTACAAAACTAATCTGAAATACAAATGGATCTTCTGGGTTAAGGACACAAGAGTACTTTTTCAAAATTCCAGAAATATAAGCACACCTTGATCTTTAGCCTTTCATTTTCTTTGTTCACCCATAATAATTCTTCTTCTGCCTTTTTCATCTTTTCTAACAACTCCTTGTAGCTGGAAGACAGCATCTCTTCATCAGGGACCAATTCAGGTTCTGTAGAATGTGGCTAAAATGAAGAAAAAGAAAAGAAAGAAGGATGAATCTGTTCTTCCTGCTTCTGCCCATTGGTCTCTTTCTCCCCCCCCTTTTTTTTTTGACTCTGCCTACCTTTTAAGTAAATTGATTTCTACAATTTGCTGCAATTGACAGATGTAGTTTGCTTTTCATTCAAACACTTCAAGATCTGAATATGACTGCACAATGCTGCAACTGAATAAGGAGTGTATTTTCTTATGTGCATGGGGTAACAAAAACTGCTGTAGAAAATGTGGCAAAATTGCACACATGCTATATTTTTTATTAAGGGAAGAATAGCTAATCCCTAATATATCCATGTCACACTGAAAACAACATGAGGTTTTTCAGAGCCTGAATTTCCTCCATTTGATTTCCCAGGGTGGAAAAACAAACAGGAGGGTTTTCTTTCTCTAAGCAACCCTCCTTTGAAATATAATTTATCACTAGAATAGCCCAGCAGTTCCAAAGTTTCCTTTTGATCATGTGATGATAGACCTATCCATCCATGATTTAGACAGTTTAATGTTAATTCTTTGTGACAGCAAAACATTCCATTTTTTTTTACTTAAGCTGCCATTGAATTCTAAAATAGGAGGCAGATGCATTATGGACACAACCTTGAACTGTACAATAAAAGAGTGGTGTAAACCTAATAAATAAGCTATGATATGTCAGCTTTATTGTGTTTCCCCCTTGAAGGGCATGTTAATGCTGATTAGTCATTGAGAGATTGGGGAAGAGGGACTACGGTGGATGGTGAATGCATGGGTGTCTCTTGGGGATGGGAAGGATATCATATAAGTTACACTGCCATCATGCAAATGATGTAAATTACATCATTTGTATCACTTCCATAGTGTTGTCACATGATTTCATTGTGGCTTATTCTGCATGCCTATGCATGAAAGGGATGCATAGCTTTTCAGCAAGTGCATGAATAGACAGTCTGGGGGAAGATCAAAGCTCTGCCCTTGTTTTATCCACATGACATATTTACCACTCCCAACTTGTATATAACAATAGCTTCCTAGGTTTGTAAGTACAGATGATTTAGTTCAAGAAATTTAGAGGCCCAGTGGAACACCAGGTTTGAAGTCCCCTCCTACAGAAAGCGTTAGATAAACACTGCGCATGGATTCCTGCACAATGAGATGGAGGGGGAAGATGAAACACCCTGCATTAGAGAAAACAGGTCTTTGCACCCATAAAATAATCTGGAAATAGAAGAATACTATTCATTGTGCAGTAAAACACTTCTTGGAAGAATGACCACAGCAGCCTGATCTTTTTTTAATAATTTTTATTGAAGAAGAGAATTAAAAACAGTACAAATTTTGAAATAAAGAGGAATAAAGAAAAATAATAATTAAGTGAAAAAGAAATAAAGGAAAGGAAAGGAAAGGAAAGGAAAGGAAAGGAAAGGAAAGGAAAGGAAAGGAAAGGAAAGGAAAGGAAAGGAA